TTGTGTTATTTAAGATACAATTTATTGTTGACACATAATAAAGCAATGATATTCGAGACTAAATACCTGCTCTTAGCTGGAACTGGAAGCCTGGAACCTCCACTAATTATTGCAGTTGATCCAAGCATAGCTAGATAAAAAAATTGCTCCCAGTTCTGAGGTCTTAGCATGTGCAACCACACCCACATTTTGGAGCACATGCTTCTTTAATTAACGAAATGGTGAAATAAGGTACCGTATAACGTTTTATTTTGGCGATTTTGCTGTAAAATTGTAATTGGTGGTTTTTAATTTGGCGATTTTTGTGTACAAGTGCATTACTGAGCATGCACATTAATGATTGGCTGTTTTAATATTGGCGATTTGGCTTGCAAACTGCCAGTCGCCAAAATAAAACTCTGCCAAAGTAAAGCGTTATATGGTAAGTTGGAGTGGCAACAGTATAGAGAGAGTGCAATTTTTTCTTATTGTTAGAATTATTTGAAAAGTTGTGGACCTGCGCATGGATAGTGGGAGTAGAATGGTGTAAAAATTAGCCTTGTAGCATTGTTCAAAGACCATGATACCCCTGCTTAACTTATTATTGAAGATGATAATGATGAAGATAAAAAAGGTGGCTGAACAAAATGGCCGGTTCGCTGATTTTTGACTTTTCTTTTAGACAAGGTTTAGAGCCACGCTAGTAGTACTAATGGAGTCCACTGGTCAAGATAAGGTCCTGTAAGAAGCCTGGTAAGCACAGGAGCTCGTTTTCCCGGTATAGCAAGACTGCAAAAGTCGTGGCAGCCATATTGTTTTGGGGCAAATTCTACTTAGTAACGCTACTGCTTTACTAATAACGCTACCGTGTTACTATTATGTCAACCCTCATAAAAATTTTTAGCAAGATCATGCATGCCTGATTTTTAATGTAAGATCTTGGTCAAGATATTTAAAGTCTTATAAGATTTTGGAACAATGATCTTGCACGATCTATAGTGATTATATGTTGATCTTCATTGAAGATCTTAAATGAGTCATCCATGATCTCATTTTATGACCTTATTTCATGATCATCCATGATTTTGGAACAAAGATCTTGCTTGATACCTTACATGATCCCCAATGATCACATAATAATCTTTTTTAAGATCTTTAAAAATCTTATTTTAAGATCATCCATGATTTTGGAACAAAGACCTCACATTTTTCCTACATAAAATGATCAACTATGATCTGGCAAAATTACACAAGATGCTTGATTTTACAAAAAACTTATCAATTAGAATTGATTAGCATAAAAATTTAGTAAGATCTCACTTAGATCTTACACTGCATGAATGCATAAATAATAATGTATG